CATTGTTGTTTGGTGGGCCCAGGCTGGATTTGAACCCGCCACCTTAGGTGTATGTGGCTGGCGCCTTAGCCACTTGAGCCACAGACGCCGAGCCAGTATGTCTATATTTATACACAAGCCAGGAACTGGTTTATTTGATCTATTCAGGCCCAATATATATTTGGATGTGCAATATCTGTCTGATTTAAAATTTTAACTGAGGCATATTTCACTTTCAGTACATTCATCCATCCAAGCTTCCCCTTTATTTATTTCAATTACATGGACAAACTCCTCTGTGGGGGCACTGAATGTACAGAGATGGAGATGGCCTGGTCTTTCCCCTTCAGAGCTTACAACATATGGGGGCACAGACAAGGAAACAAATAACTGCAAAATCCTGTAGCACGCACTTTAACAAAGGTACCCACAAGCTACAGAGTGAGCAAAGGCAAATTCTCTCGGGAACGAGACGAGAATCAGTGACATCAGCAAAGAAGAGGTGCTACAGAGGATTCCTGTGACAAACAACAGCCTGTCTTTGGAATGGAATATTCCAGAATTTCTTGAAGCTTGACTATTCTGAAACCATGCCCTGTGTAGTTGGGAAATATCTATGTTTTGCTAAGGCTCTTATCTCTTTGATCTCCAAGAACAACTATCCTTACATTTGTAGCCAGTCTTCCTCAGATCTTATTGTCTAACAGCTGTTGTCTGTTTTCTGTAAGTAAGATCTGGTCTTCTCAAGCAAGTTCTGTAGGATACGAAACATAGGGCATGACAAATATGAGTCTCTCAAGAGCTCTTGGGCCATGTTCTCAGTGACAAATGAAGGGTAATAGAATTTTCTGGAATTTCCTTCCCTACTGTCAATGAATGGTGGTTTGGGATGGATATCTGTTACACGAGCATCTACAGTATCTACTTACTACCATCTCAAGTTGTTAAGAACCCGAGGACTCAGTCTAGATGCCTAACAGTGGTAGGTGCTCACTAAATGTTTGTAGAAAGAATGATAAGACCTCAAATCCTACATAAGCAGTTCTGAACTACATCACTTTTTTTGAAGCCAGGAATTATCAGTATTCCATGACTAATTTCAAGAAAACAATGTCGTGGCAATAAATTAGCCAGTTAATTTTAAAATTAGTCAGACATAATTGGCTAATGTTAAATGTAGTAAATACCAGTCTTCATCAACTCAAGTTAAAGCTACCCTAATGATGCTAAATCAGTATTCACAAGATTACAATTTTGTTCTGCCACTGATTTGGCATGATGCAAACCCTTCTTGATAATAATAAGATGGGTCCCGTGTCTGCTCTGGCAAAGAGCTGCAGATATCAAGGGACCCACCCAACCCAGCCCCCCCAGAGGCTGGGATTTGTGGGTGTGGATTGAAGCACCCAACTGTATACCACTTTTACTCCTGTCTCTCTCTTTCTGTTCCTCCCTTCTTTTTGTCAGTCTTCCCTTTTACTCACCCCTTTTCCTTTCTCTTTTCTCTCTCTCTCTCTCTTTTTTAATCTTTTAACCCTTCTTGCTCTTCACTCTTCTCGTCTTAGTCCTTTACCTAAAGGACACTTCAACACCTTAGGTCAGAGGCACGGTAACTTAAAGAGCAAGGGGAAGCGAAAGGAAAAAGTAGGGCAAGGAAACAGACAGAAAGAAGACACTCACGAGGAAGAAACAGCAGAAAAATCCTGGCAACATGAAAAACTAGACCACAGCAACCCCTCAAGGGACCATGAGGTAGCTACTGCAGAAGATTCCACCTATGAAAACAATGTTAGAAATGACCGAAGGGGAATTTAAAATACGGATGGTAAAAATAATGAAGGAAATTGCTGAGAAAGGGGAAAATAACCACAAGGAAATCCAAAAATAGAATCAAATAAAAGATGAAGGATATGAAGAATATACAAAGGATATAGCAGAGCTGAAGACATTGAAGCAGTTAATCAGGGAACTTTTTTGATTTCAAGTTCCTAAAAGTCTAAATCAATGTCTTTTTTTTTTTATCGTGGGGGTCGGGGTTGGGAAACAGGAAGCTCCATAAGAACAATGCCATAAAAAAAGAGTGGCCAGCTGGTAAACATGTACTGAGTATTTGAATGTTCATTTTACTATCACACCAGGAATAGTGGACATAAGAAATAGTGGAATAGTCATATAATGAAAGTATTAAATATAATTTAAATAAATGAAAATGTATATAGAGAAATAAAGCTTATTAAAATTTTAAAATATTTTTCAGATATTAGCTATTCTTTTGTCCTATTTATTGAATACCTACTTACGTGTGGAATATTTTTTGTCGATATTTACAAATGTGGAGATTAGACTTGTTGTCTATGGAATGTTCTTTCACTTGCTAATACTCTACAACCTATCTGCTATCATCGTTCATATAATGCCTCTTATGAGACCCACAGAAACCATATGTACACACATACGTCAGGCGTCCAGGCATCTTCTAACTATGGCCCACAGGCCACATGTCGCCCACCTAGGACATTTATCCGGCCCACCAGGTGTTTTTGCCACCGCTGCCCGTCCTGCTTAGCAGGTGACTAGTCCTGGGGCCCACAGGCCAGCCCTCCAAAGGTCTGAGGGACAGTGAACTGGCCCCTTGTTTAAAAAGTTTGAGGACCCCTGCGCATGCGTCCTTTGCCTTCGCTGATGAAATTAATGTAAGTTTTCTAATGGTATTTGAAGGCTTCCCTCTTCTTATATATTTCCAAAATTTAGCAATATAGCAAAATTGCAGCCTAGCAGAAAAACATCTAACTTAGAAACTGGGTTTAAAAGTGGTCCAGCCATGAACTGTTGAAAAAGAGCACAGAAGTTTGCCTTTGGGAAAAAAGCATTTTATACAGAAAAACTGCTGCAGCAACACTGCTTTCTGAGAAGCACAGGCACAATATGACTGCATTCAATTTGCATGCAGGTGGTGAATCTCAGAAGTGGTATTAAGGGATGAACTAGGCTGGATTAATTTCCAATCTTTGATATTCATTAACTCCAGCTTCAGAAAAAAATACAAGGAGATGACACAATTACCCTCCGAGCTTCACCTGTGAGCAGCAGCTTTACAATCTCAAGTTCATAACGCCATACTAATTGATCAAGAAGGGGCACGGACCTTCAGAAAGAGGTGAAAAAGTAGATGGCTTAACTATACCAACAATGGTATTTGACTTTGGAATAGTCAACCCCACTTTGGAGACACTTAGCAAAATAGTTGTCTTTGTTTATTCCCTGAGTCGCCTGGCAATAGCTTATTCTCCATGATTATCAATATTCTTTGTAAGCAAAACTTAATTTCAGTAGAAAGGTAATGGTGACCAAGGCTCAATGTCCATTTCATTTGAAGCAACTAGCATTTAGCGTCATCATTGTATTTCTATTTATAGATCATGAAAACTTTCAAAGATAGATCTTCAGGAAATACTTCAGTAAAGAGGAAAACTTTCCCATTAGAATGAGTAACAAAAGTCATCAAGTTGTCCCCAATCCCATCTGGGACAAAGTGGCAAGAGGAAAGGACAGAGATCAGCAAGAAAAGGAATGTGCATGCAGTATCCAAGTGGGAATGACGGGCTGGAGGGCTGTTTACCTGGGGTGCCTCAAAGATTTCAGGGTCATTGTGTAAGAAGGCAGGAAAGATGGCTACAAAGTCTCCCTTTCGCAGACAGCTGTCCTTGAGCTCCGAATCCAGTGTCAGATCCTCCTGGACAAAACGAATGGTGCCTGACAAGGAGCACAGTCGCAAAACCTCAAGAACGGTGCTTTCTGAGGGAAACAAACAAACAACAGTTGAGTAAGGTATGACTGCTCCTGAAAAGTGCTCTCAGTTTACCATTAAAGTTTATCATTAATGACCTCGATTGACATCATATCCACAGAGCACCGAGGTGGAACGAGGGGCTGGCTGTGGAGTGGTGGGGGCAGTGGTTTGCCCCAGCCCAGCACAGAGGGCACTTCACAGCTCGGAGGCAGCAGTGCTGTGCTGAGGTAGAAAGCCACCTGATCTTATAGGAAAGAATGGTCTGCAAACAATGGAAGAAAATGTATCCAATGTACTCAGTCTTACTATGAAACCAATTTATAGCTTTCTAATGAAAGCTATAACCCAATTATAGCCCAAGAAGAAGGGGAAAGGGGGGAGGGAGGGGAGGAGGAGGATGGGTGGAGGGAGGGTAATTGGTGGGACCACACCTACGGTGCATCTTACAAGGGTGCATGTAAAATTTACTAGGTGTAGGCGGACACTCAGACAGCGGGGAGCGCACCCACACTGCAGGCGCAGGGGGTGGGGACAACCGAGGCTGCTGCTAGAGAGTCGTGTTAAAAAAAATTTTACTATGTGTAGAATATAAATGTCTTAACACAATAACTAAGAAAATGCTGTGAAGGCTATGTTGACCATTTTGATGAAAGCATTTCAGATTGTATGTAAAACTAGCACATGGTACCCCATGATTGCATTAATGTACACAGCTATGATTAATAAAAAAAATTATCACACTGACATGTTAAAATAGAAGAGAGAGAGAAATGCTGTATGCATCTACATATTTGAGATTAAAACCATGTCTCAAGCTCAGCATCTGTAGCTCAGCAGGTAGGGCACCAGCCACATACACCAGAGCTGGCAGGTTCAAATCCAGCCTGGGCCTGCCAAACAACAATGACAATTACAACCAAAAGGTAACTAGCTGTTGTGGCAGGTGCCTGCAGGAGTCCCAGCTACTTGGGAAGCCAAGACAAGAGAATTGCTTAAGCCCAAGAGCTGGAGATTGTTGTGAGCTGTGACACACAGCACTCTACCCAGGGCGACATAGTGAGACTGCTTTAAATAAAAAACAAAAACAAAAAACCATGTCCCAGTTAAAGTACACTCCTGGTGGGTAATTTTACCAATCTTTAGAACTCTGATGCCTTTGAAGGCAGGCTTAGCCATTTAATAACCACTTAGGCAGTTAATAGTGAAGTAATTGTAGTAGCGCTTTCTGAGACAGCTTAACACTTAATTTCTTTTATGCTAGCTGTAAATAAAATGTGAGTCAGCATTTGTTGGAAAAATTTCAAAAGGAAAATACTTTTCCAGGATTCAGAGGAAAGCCATATTTTCCTCAGCATCTAGGGAGAATAACAGCCCACCATCATATCCTGGAAGATTCCAGAAGCTGAATGTCCTTTCTTTCCCAATGGCCTTCACCTTTTGCTCCTAGCACGACAGATTTTATGGCTAATTTCCGGCAATTTATCCTGGCAGTTTGAGGAGGAATTCCTTTGGGAATAATATGCATAATTTGCATAAATCATTCTGATAGCATGCATACCAGCGTGTAGTCCCTGTCTAGGTCTGCATTTCTCTCTTCATAATCAAAACTGACTATGTTTCCACCAGCGTGAATGGGTCCTGGAATATAAAGCTTGATTCTTTCTAATCAGCAGTGTGAAAAAGAGCTCCAAATGGAGTTTTTTCCCCCTTCACATAACAAATGGTTGTGTTTATGACTTGCAATTTAGAAATCACACACACACACACACACACAGCCCAGTTTCTCAGTGTTCAGCAAAGCTCTGAAACACAGAGTACCCAATTATTAGATTATTAAAGGCAGGCCTATCAATGATGGCTTGAATCAGCCAAAAAATAAAAATAAATGTTATTTCAGTCAAATTGAAATCTATGCACAGCTTGCATGGGGATACCAAGTAGCTCTGGGTGCCTTCTCCCAGGAGGCTTTTCCTTAAGCATGCATTTGTCTAAAGAAATGAGGCTGCGGCCAGCTTTCTGTGGCCAGTGTGGTGATTCAATGTGACGCACAGTAAGGTTGTACATATTCTCTTGGACTGCCTTCGTTATTATAATCAGGCAGAGTCAAATCGGTTTGTTGGTGATGAGGCCAGAAAAGAACTTTGGTTTTGGAACACGGACTCTACTGCAGATAGCCACAAGGCACCTGACATGACGGATTTCAGCTGGCCGGACACCAAAGGCCAACATTTCTGTGGTGTAAAGCAAGGGTCGGCTTCCCCGTACTGCTGCTGGCTCTGCTGGATCAACCCTAGCGTGGCATCATCCTGGCATGAGGTGTGAAATGGTAGCTGACATATGCAGCAGTGCTGTTCACCCCACAAGTCGAGTAGGGGTGTGGAAAAAGAAATACAAAAGCAAAATAATTGTGGGGTGGCTGCGGAGACAGGGCAGGCATTTAATAATCCTCATAACATGGTCACATCGGATTGGCTGATGCGCTCTCGGGAAGCATGGCAGCTTGTGCCCACCGCAGTATCGCAAATGACAATTGGGCAAGCATATCTTATGCAGAAGTTAATCACAATAATGGAGCACAAAGTGTGGCTTAGCGGTCAGATCGTAAGTGACAAATCTGTTTTACCTTCCAGTACCAGTTATGTGTGCAAGATGAGGTTGGCTCTCGCTCCGAGCAATCACGCCGATAATCATTAGACGACAGAAGTAATGAGTTTCATTATTATCAACAATGGAGAGTGGAGCTTCTGTGACTCCACAGTGCAATACACAGACACAAAAGCCAGCAGCTTTCCCACCAGCCCCAGCACAAATGCAGGCAGAGCTATACATTGAGGAGAATGACAACTGCACAACAAAAAAATTGCAGCCTCTACTTGTAGTTGTCATAGTCGAGCAGACACCAGCCAGTGCCACTGACAGACCAGCTGGGCCCTGGGAGGACTTCCACGCTGCACCAGGAGGTGCAGTAAATTATCCTGCACGGTGGAGCAACATCTGTTTCTGTGCTAGTGCCGAACAAACAAGGCAATTTAAAACATACCAAGGGATAACCAAGCAACAAATGAACATGACCCTCATTTTTTTCCCCCTTCTCACACACGAGGTGCTAAACTTCATTGTGCAGGCACTCCATGGCAGAGAAGCCAGGTTTTTATTTGATAAGGTGTTGTCAGAGAGATTTTACATATTTCCAAAACGGAAAGAAAAAGCTTATAGTATTGTTATTCTTAGAATCTTCCCCCTTCTATCTTCATTTCTTTTATCCCAAAGCTAGCACTCAGTTCTCAATTTGCTCTAGAATTGAAAAAAAAAAAAAAAAACTTTCCATATACTTATAAATATTCAGTCTTTAAACCTAATTTGCTATACTTAGTTCACATGCCTTCAAGCATTTGTCTTCCAATTTCCACTGAATAAATGCGTACTAATGAGAACTAGAGCAAGCTGCCGAGGCAAAGCTGGGTGACTTGGGTCTGGCCTGCCACCAGCTTGTGATAGGCGGGCAAATTGAGTTAAAATGAAAAGTCTTGTCAGCTGAAATTCAACATGGTAGCCAAACAGCAAGCTGTCAATCATCCAGCCAAAACAGGGGACTGCAGGTAATAAAAGGTCACTGTGAATCATTAGTGCACTTGGCTTTCATGTGGAAGTTAATTTTAATTAAAGATGATCTCTATCTGTAAATGTTTTATAAAACTTATTGTGCATAATGGATTGTTCATTTATACTAACATTTAGCAGGTAATGGGACCTTCTAATTATTAGAATGTATTGTCAAAAAACGGCTATTGAGAATGCAAATATTTGGGGGATTAAAATTTACACCAGGCGCTGCAAGGTGCCAACAATTATAACCGTGATTAAGATAAGGCTGACTGTGATTTATTAAGAACTGAGCTTTACTGACTGGTGTACGCTAGGAAATTGGGTTACAAAATTCCTGCAACGAATTCACCATTCAGCGCCTGTGCTATTTTCTTCACCTGGTTAGAGAAGACTTGTTTCTCTTATCAGGGTATAAAACTATTCTGATTAAGTATTTCTTCCTAACAAAAAGCTGGAGAATGTCTTGTGCTAAGTTGACAAATAAAAGGAAAGGTCAGGAAAAAGAAAGAAGCATATATATTTTCTCCTTTGCCCTCAGATCTCAATTCTGGCTATAATAATTGACAGATGATTCTCATTTGCAGAATTAAAGCACTAAAGCAGCTCATGGAAATCAATAATGCATGTTACAATGCAAAAACAAATAAGCACGTCCGAGTTTCTGCCTCACACTTAGACCATGTCTGTGTCTGTGGAATGAATGTACTGTGACATGGCCAGGCTGTTAATTTGGGTCATCTTAATGATTGGTGCAGGCTGGCATGCCATCTGATTAGCCACGGTGATCAGTGGATAGCAGCAATGGACGGAGTGAAATGAGCAGCCAGGCCCTGCCACAGACACTGGGCCTGAACACTTGGGTGGTCATCAAGAGAAGGTGGGGAAGAAACAGATATGGGAGATGGGGTGCTCTAGCAGGCGTGATGAAGTGGAGTGGGGTGCATGGAGTGTGTGTGCGTTTCCATGTAACTGTCTTGGACAGGTGAGAAGGTAAATAAGAAATTGTGATAATCACAAAATTTGTGGCAAAATCACTAATCTTTGCTTCAAAAATTGAATATTTTAAATCAAGTTAAAAATAAATCTGAATCCATACCAATGCCTACCTTCACTGTGCATTGCAGACATAGTCTCAGGTTCATCGCTAAAATTAGAAATGTAAATTAAACATTCATATAGTCAATAAATGTTTATTAAGGTTCTACTCTGCTTGGTGTGCCGGGACGTTGCTACTAGTGGGGAAAAAGAATGAATTTGGCCTTCACTGACGCTGTAATCTAGGTGGTTCAAAGTTGGAGGACAAACATAAATGTGATATATAATTTCATTCCGTGCATTTCCAAGATCCTATTTAAGATACTGCACAATTTCTTTTATTTATTTTTAAATTGACACATAA